CCCTGTGAGTCTGGATGGACAGGAGGCCTGGCCTCTGAGGACATGTCAGCCCATGTGCCCCTGTGAGTCTGGATGGACAGGAGGCCTGGCCTCTGGGTGGTCTCGTGGCCTAAACGCAGAAACCCTCGTTTTGGTGGAATATCAAATTGGCCAAGACCTTTCATATGCACAGGCACCTCCCAGCTACCTGAGGCGGCCTCTCCGGGCTCCCCGCCCTGCAGACATGTTTGGCCCTCCACCTGCCAGCCCAGGACCCCCACACACCCGCGTCCTGATTCTCCTTTTCTTTCCTCTCCCTTTAGGTCACTGGGCTGTGGTGAGAGAGGGCCTCACAAACCCGTGGATTCCAGATAACTGGTCTTGGGGCGGGGTGGCTTCTGAACACTGCCCGGTGCTCGCTGAGCTCTACATGGAAAAGGACTGGAGCAAGAAGGACGCCCCTCGGAATGGCAGCGGGGTGGCCTTGGAGCGAAGTGAAGCCAACATCAAGCATGAGCGATGATGACACCAAACTCATGTGTCCACCTTCGGACCCAGGAGGGCACAGCCAAGGAGTGAGCCCTGAGGGTGACACTTCAGGGCCAGTTGCCTTTTAATCTTCATTCTCAGAGCATCAGCACTGGGGCTTTGCCTCACGCCTTCTCTGTGGACCATTAAGGACCTCCGGGGGGGTGGGGTGCCACCAGGCAGGCGAAGCAGAAGCCCGTGGGGAACGGAGATGCCTTTTATCTCTAGATGCCACGGACCTGAGCAGCATCGGGCTGCTGTCTGCTGCTGACTGGATGGTGGCACAAGGACAGCTGGAGCAGAGGGAGGAGAAGAGATGCTCAAGCTGCCAGGCCCTGGCCCAGCAGCACCAGAAGCTCTCATTTCTGACCACCAGGCTGTGACGTTCCAGCTGCACATTATGGAAAGCTTTTAACTGTGATCGGGCGCTCTGCTCAGATACATTGAGTGGTGATTTTTAGTTTTGTTTTGAAAAAATAAACAGAGATTAACCTGCCTGGCTGCAGTGAGAGTATGGGACGAATCCCCAACACACACCCACCCGGCCCACAGCGTGTGTTTGCAGCACGGCAGGTGCCTCTGTGCGGAGCTAGGGTCGAGCCCTGACCAGCTCCACCTGCCCTGCACCTTTTATGTCCCTGCCTTGTGGCCTGGCAGAGGTGCCTCTCAAGCCCCTATCCACTTACCTGCAGCTCTGTGAAGTCGCTCTGTCATCTCCCCTCCCAGCCATCCTTCATCCCTTGCCTCCTTCACCTGCTTGGCTTTTGCCTGGAGCACCATTTGTTTAGTTCTCTTTGCAGGACAAGAATTCTCTCGGAGTGGTTTCGCCTCCTCCCTCCTCCCCACTCACGCCAGTTCTTAGCCCGGAGCCTCCCGGAGTTGACTCTTCAGGAATGTGTGCTGTGTCAGGATACACAGGAAGTTAAACCTCTGAGTATCCATGAAGAGTGTCCCTCCTAGTGACCAGGGGTGGGGACAGTTGGTTGTGGGGCTGGGAGAGGTTGTGGGGCGGAGGCAGGGATACGTGTCTGCCAGGCATCTGCATCCCTGAGCCCAAGCCAGGAGTGATCTCCCTTAGGTGACACCATCCCAGGCGATCTGGCACAATACCCATTTCACAGCTGAAGAAACAGGCTTAGAGCACTCGACCTCCTCAAGGTCACACCACTGGGTAAATAGAGCAGACTCAGGTTTTGCTGTGTGCTCACATTTCAACTTGCTGTTACCATGAATGGAAAAGTATGAAAGTAAATAGTGAAAAGGTAAGTGATGAGCTGAGATTACCTAGACTATTCCAGTGTCCCATGGAAGCTGAGGGCTTATTCCTCTTTCCACACCGACCACTAAATACAGAGCAGTGCCAAGAACCCTCCTGTCCCCAAGAAGTGTGAACCCAGTGGCTTCTCTGACCTGGAGCCAATGGGCTGTGAAGGGGGCCCCTTTTTCCCCAAAGGTCATCCTTTTGGGGCCACCTGGCTCCAAGGAGCATCGCTGGTCTTGGGCACGGGAAGGGACCCTCTTCCGGGAACTCCAAGGGTACTTGGGAATCAGGTGTGTCCATTCTGAGATCTCTCCAGTGGGAGGGCGGCAGCTCCTGCCCTTGGATTCAGGCTGTGCCTCTGGAAGCATCCAAATGGGATGGCTGAGCCTTGAGGAAAAGCAGCAGGGTTAGCATCAAAGTCAGGAGGGGGCAGGTCAGGATGCTGCCAGGGAGCGCATCATTTCTGATGCCTCATCTAAAGGTAAAACCTCCCCTACGTTCACCAGCCGATGTCCCAGACCCTTTAACCAGATTGCTTTCTGCACCAAAGCTGTGGACAGAAAAGCCTCCTTAAGTGTGCTGAGGGGAAAGGAAATCCAATCAGGTGACCTTTGTGGGCATAGTTGGGCTTGAGCCAGAGGCTGGGGAGCTGAGTCCCAGCCACACCTTACTGGCTCTCCCACCCAGGACTCAGTGGCCCAGGAGGGGTGCTGGGCAGCCATTCTTACTCCAGCTCAACCCACTGGGTGTTTGCTGTTTTGGTTTTAGTTGTTGCTTTGCCTTTTGTTGTTTTAATTAATAGGCTTCATTTGTAAGAGCAGCTTTACATTTACAGAAAAATTAAGCACAAAGGGATTCCCATTGTGCCTAATTCTTTGCATATTTCCCCCTCTAATTAGTTGTTTGCATATTTCCCCCTCTAATTAGCATGTTGTATTAGTGTGGCACTTTGTTACAATTGATGAGCCCGTATTCATTATTATTATTAGCTGCAGATCATAGTTTAAAGTTCACTCTTTGCGTTGCACAGCCTGTGGGTTTTGACAAATGTGTAATGACACCACCATGCTACAGAGTCATTCAGAATAGTTCCTCTGATCTAAAAATGCCCTTATGGTGGGGCATGGAGGTTCGTGCCTGTAATCCCAGAACTTTGGGAGGTGGAGGCAGGCAGATCATATGAGGCCAGGAGTTTGAGACCAGGCTGACCAACATGGTGAAACCCATCTCTATTAAAAATACAGCTAGCTGGGCATGGTGGCTTAAACCTGTAATCCCAGCTACTTGGGAGGCTGAGGCATGAGAATTGCTTGAACCTGGGAGGCAGAGGTTGCAGTGAGCCGAAATCACACCATTGTACTCTAGCCTGGGCGACAGAGCAAGACTCCATCTAAAACAAAATGCCATTGCTCTCCACCCATTCATCTATGCCTCCCTCCCCCTAACCCATGACAATCACTGCTCTTTTCAGCATCTCCATAGTTTTGCCTTTTCCAGGGTGTCGTTTGGTTGGAATCATAGAGTATGGAGCCTTTTCAGGTGGGCTTCTACCGCTAGCCACATGCATTTAAGGTTGCTGTGTGTCTTTCTGTGGCCTTGTAGTTCTTTTCTGCGCAACGGACCTTCTTCCCTTGGATTGTTTCTGCGCCTTCCCCAGAGCTTCCTCCCACCCCATCCCCAGCTCCGCCCACAAAGGCGGTATTTCTGTCCAATTCCACCTCTTCCGTTCTCCCTCTCCATTCTTTTCTCTCTTCTCCATCTTCCAAGATTGTATGAGAAGGGGCCTAACTGCAAAGGACATTGGTGGAGAAGCCAAGGGGAGTCCCCTGCTGCTGAGCCGGGGGTTGGGAGGGGAAGAAGGAATCCAGAGCCAGAGAAGCTCTTACAGTGCCACCGGTGCTGACTGGGAGCCCACGGCTTTCTCCCAGCTCCCCCATCACAGGAGCACTGCAGGCAGCCAGCCGCCCCTTCCTGGCCCCAGTGGACCCTCCCTCCTGCCCACTGTCCCTCAGCAGATCGGAGATGGCTCTTCCTAGGCAGGGGTGGGGCCCCAGCCATCTCTATCAGCTCTGCCAGTCCCAGATCTGCCTTTGTCAAAGATTTAGCAGGGGTGACCGACCAGAGACCAGAAGCCCTGCTGGGCCTCCAATAACCAGGCCCAAGTTTTGACCCCTCTTGGCTGTTCTAAGGACTGCAAGGGAGGACATGGGCTCGGCCTTGCCTAAAGGGCTGCGTTCTTACAAAGTCAGGGGGATGCTGTTTTCTGCTCTGTGTTTCTTTGGTTCCGACGTCAGAATTCTCCTCGGTACAGATGGTATCGCCCTCTGGGATGGGTGAGAATCCTAGCACCTGGGTTTTCGGGTCTCCTCAGCACAGCCTACATCTCCACCATCTGTGTGGGGGAGGTAAGTGCGTCTCACCTGAGACAGCCACAGGGTTTGTTTTCCGGGGAAAGGAATTAATGACTTCAGCAGCGCTCACTGATCTTAAACTCAGCGCACACTTTCAAATGCCCCATTGCCCACGCTTATTGACTCCTGACTGCTCTAAGCACTTCATACTTTTAACTAACTGAATCCTCACAGCAGTGCAATCAAGTTGGTGCTATTCCTTCTGTTCCTTTTACAGAGGGGGAAACTGAGGCACAGAGCAGGTAAGCAGGCTAGGGCTGTGTAATTAGAAAGGGCAGAGCTAGAATGCCTGCCCACCAGCATCGCTTTCTACCAGCACGCTCTGCACCCAGAGGTGATGTGCTTCTGCCTGGGCTTAGCTGGACATAAACTCTTACACCACAGACAGAGTGGGTGGCACTTCTCCCCTGAGGACCCTGGGTGTGGTGTCATTGCTCGATGCCACATGCCTGGGATTTGGAGGCAGCAGGCCTGGCTTCTGTCCTTGCTCTCCATGTTACAGCTGCTGGCCCCTGCACGTTCAACTTGTCTGGCAAAGTCCCAGTTTTCTTGTCTATTAAGTGAGGGCAAAACCCCTCTGAGAAGGTTGTGAAGAAGAAACATCTGCCCAGCTCTCAAAACATCTGACCGCAGGGCCAGTGGTATGACGCCACAGGGGAGCCATTTGTTTCAAATGTCCTGACACTTCATAAGGGCTCACTAAGTGGCAGAGTTTCTAAAAATCATTTTTCACTGCTGATTTCTTAGTGTTTAAATTTTATCCCCAAGCTCTCTCTGCTCCTTCCAAGCTTTGTGATTTCCCAATAGCGCGTAATTCTATACTTTCCACTGGTCAATCTGGGCCCTCAGAAGTAGGGACCCCCCCAGCCCAGTGGTACCTGTCACATGCACGCTGATTATTGAGAAAAGCCCAGAAGCTCTCTGAGGGCCAAAAACTGCTGCTCCCAGGCTCCAGCTATTTCTGGCAGAGAAACTCGGTGCGGAACTCAATAAAGCTTCTCTGGGGACAGCACACACAGCACTTTGAATGTACTGTGAGCACGATGACTGACAGCTGAGCACTGGGTGAATTCCTGCAGGAGAGGGACGACCAACATTCCCTGGGACAGTCACTAGATTTGGCAGACTCAGCCTCTCCAAGGAGACTCCGCAGAGCAGCCTGCATGAGCAGACACACTGTGAGTGGCGTTGTGAGGGGGTTGGGAAGGGTGGGCCATGCAGTCAGTGGGGCAGGTTGTTGTGCTCTAGAGGAATCAGCCAGGAAAGGACTGGAGATGACTTAAGAGCTCATGCCTCGTCATGACCACCACTACATCCCGCAGAGAAGAACCCCCTGAGAGGGCCAGTGTTAGCCCCTCTCATGAAAAAAAGTTTCATGGCAATTTAGGAGGAAAAAGCCTCCATTTAAGATAAAAAATCCAGTTCAATAGACATTTTTTAAATTAGCCCCTCCCTCCAAAAAATTGGTGCTGACTCTTGAAATGGAGGCCACATGTGTTTGAACAAGTGAAAGGTCAGCGTGGACGAGCATAGTAGGCGAGGCCCACGCTCCCACCCTCCCGCCCTCTGGTGCTTCCGTGCTCCCATTCTCCCGTGCTCCCAATCTCCTGCCCTCTGGTGCTCCTGCACTCCTGTACTCCTGACCTCCCATTTTCTCGTGCTCCCATGCTCCCATTCTCCCATGCTCCCGTGCTTCCATTCTCCCGTGCTCCACCACTGGCCATGTGAGCCCTGTTCTTACCATGTCTTCTCACAAGACTTTCAGGATTAAGCAATTCCTGGTCAAGAAACAAAAACAAAATTGTCCCATTCTCCAATGGATTC